TTTATGCTTCTGCACTTTCTGCTTCCGTAAAACCAATAAGTTATTCTGAATAAGTTGCACCAAATAGTTTTAACAGACAGGAGCAAGAATGTCATTTATACAGCCATAACTACCAATAAGCTATTTTGAATAGTCTGCCCCAAACAGCAAGCCAGTTTATTCTGATAATCTGCAGATTATCAGATTATCAAAATAATCTGTTCATCAGCAGATTATAAATAATCAGCAGTAGTCCCTTAGGGCCCGTTTGGGGCAGTTTATTTACCTGCGGCGACGTTTTGGAAACGTTGTCGCAGTGCTTGAATAATGTGTTGGTTGAGTGTATTTCTGTCGCACCCTAACGTCGATCTCGTATTCCTTAAGGGTTAGCGAAGCGGAAGGCAGTCTGCGTCCCGCGTATGATTATCGTGTTAGGGTAATATTTTCCTCCTATGCCCCTCGCTCGCTCTCCCCTTCTACTCTCGCCCTCCCGTTCTTCCTTCCTCCTTCTGCAACTTCTCTCTGGGAGATCGACATCGAGATAACGAAAATCTTCACTCTAAGGTCTCCTTGATCTTCCTTCAACTCCTCGCCTCAAATGAGGTATCTTTCACATTTTTTGCATTTCTCTGAGAAGAGATCTCTGAGAAGAGATATATGATTTCTCTGAGAAGAGATATATGGTATTCATTAGATTTTTACGATAGAGAGAAATTTTTGCATTTCTCAGAGAAAAGATATATGGTATTCATTAGATTTCAACAGATTGCAAATAGAGAAATTTTTTCTTACTCATTCTCGCCTCCCTTCGCATCACTGTTTCCTTCTTCCCCTCTCTGAAATTCTCAAATTTTTACAAATAGAGAAAAATGAGACGTTATCCTGCTACAGAGTTCTGGTTTCCATATAAATTCATGTATTTCTCTCGTTGAGATTATGTTATTAGAGCTCGATTTGAAATTGCTGAGAAATGGGATTCGTTTGTCTGTTGTTCTGTAGAATTTACAAATTTTTTTGATTTGCTACACTTGAGTTTGCAATAATTTTTAGGAATGTCTTTTCGATAGTCTACTGTTTTGTAGAGGCGAAATTGGATTTTCAAATGTTTGTTGTAGTTCTTGTTTATGGTTTTGCAGCATAGTTGGATCCGTTAGTCTATTAATGTTTTCGAATTGCTGGAAAATTTTGCTTATGGAATTGCTAGGAAAGGTCATTGTTTCTGTTCCGAGATATTCCTAACGAAATTGTATTGATTGCAATGGTGGCTGAAAGATGTTTCATATGTTCGGTATTTGACTCCAAAAATTGTACAGTATTGATTGTAATGGTGGCTGAAAAAATTGCTGAGATGGTTGCTCTTAGGGAGTATATAGCAGATGCTATATATAAAAGCTAATCCAGCAATTCTTTCTTTTCTTCGTATATATGTAAATCAATCTTTATGTGAATTTTATGTTTTTTGGGAATAAGTTCTGACATTCATTTTTTTTTCAGTTATACAAACATGACTTCTATGAAATCAGTTACAGACAGAGGTATTTTCTGTTATTGTAGACTACCATCTCCGTTGCTCACGTCGCGTCAGCCTCATAGTTTTGGGAGGCAGTTATACTGTTGTGTCAAGGGTGTTTCAGCTCATTGTGGTTTCTTCCGGTGGGCTGACAGTCCCACATATTACACTGTCAACTATCATGGGAATATAATGTTTTCTCAGGTTGATAGTGCAGCTGAGGATGGGCGTAGTCAGAGTTTGAAATTAAATATTTTAATGTTTCCATTGTAGTTGCACTTGTCTTTGTCATTTTTTTTATTTCTTCTGGTACTCACGAGAGTGTGAGAACTGTATGTCATCTTTTGGAACTGATCTGTGATGATTGTATGCTTCTGTACTATATGTTTTTGTACTACCAATAAGCTATTCTAAATAAGCTGCCCCAAACAGTTTTACCAGACAGGGGTAGGAATGTCATTTAACCACCAATAAGTTAATCTGAATAAATTGTCCCAAACAGCAAGCTAGATTATTCTGATAATCTGCAGATTATCAGAATAATCTGCTTATCAGCAGATTATATATAATCAACAGTTGCGCCTGGGGCAGCTGTAGCTTATTGAATCATCTGCTCATAAACTGATTAAAAATAATCTACTGATAAGCTAAGTGCGATGGCTATTATAAATTTTTATTTTTTTGAAAAAGTCAGACTGTTGCCAATAAGCTCCCACCACACCTAGATAGGTACGGTGTGAAATCGTTATTTTCTGCGTTTTGAAAACGCATAAGCTGCCAAAACGCAGTTTATTCAAACAGACCAGGTGCGTTTTCAAAACGCCACCGCACCAAATAAGCTGCCCCAAACAGGCCCTTAGTCTCTAATCATAACAGACAACTTAAGGCAGTCAAGTTTTATGTTATAGGATCAATTTCTTTATGATTCTCAAATTGTGATACGTGTGTTTCTCTTTAGGTTCGTTACCTTCTTCTAATTTTTCCCCCATTTTTTTATTTATTTCAATTTTATAATGTCACTTGGGGATGTATAAATATCTCTCCACTTGTACAACAACATTGTGAGATATTTCTCCATTGTTTTATTTTTTACAAAAATGTTCTTCTTTATTGTTGTATTTTTAATGTGTCATTATATTAGCTATAAAATTATTACCCAATATGATTTAAGTTTTGTTGATTAAATAATAATTATATATACATAATATATTTATATATTATATACAAGATATCAACACTTTTATGCGGTGTTTGGCTCAATTGGGATTAGCATTAAATAGGATTTATCAAATCCGATAAATCCTTCTACGAAGCTTTCACGGAGATGAAGGTCATCTACGATGAAACAAATCCTTTAAATCTGACTCTTATTCAGATTTATTAAATCCGGATTTATATCTCCATTAGACGGAACACGGGAAAAACACGAAAAGAACGCGGGAAGAAAGCGGCGAAACACAAAAAAAATAGATTTAACGGAGCTTCGAATTCAATTTTGATTTGTTTGAGGTTTTACTTGATTTAAGTTAAATCTATACCTGAATCCTTTTATCAATATGCTACCAAACACCCTTTAGTGAAAGCATTGCTTCAATTTTCTCTTCTATGCATTGAAGCAAAAATAAAACCTTCTATATCGCATTGCACATAGAAAGTTAAAAATACTATGCCTAAACTCTATTTGCATCCAATGTTTGATGCCCATTTTCCCAACAATCTAATCTCCCTTTCTATAAGGAGAACTGGTGAATCAGACAACCAAACAAGCTCAGCCTCTAATGTTCCTCTACCAATGTCCAGTGCGAATCTTCTTAATTATCTGATCTCCCATTCTGATCTCCCATCCTATAAGAAAAACAATCAAGTCAAACCATTTGAAATCGCTCAACCTCCAACCTAATCAATCATCACCAAACACATGCTAATGAGAGATGACCAAATTGTAATCGAGCCAAGCCAACTAGTGAGCCGGCTCGGACTCGACAAGATAAGTGGCTCGTGAACTGAATTCATTGAGCTAACAAGCCAAGCTCAAGTCAGTCCTGACTCCATTTGTTAACTTATGAGCCAACTCATTTAAAAAATAATTAATATAAAATATACTCGAAATATATTAAAATTGAAGATTTTAACTTTAAATTCTTTAAAATGTTTAAAAAATACCTAAATAGTTGCTTTATCTCATTTTATTATAGCATTTGCTTCAATTAAAATTATTTTTTTCTCTTTTATAATGATCACGTTCAAACGAGTGCGACTCGAGCTCCACTCAACTCGTTTACACCACTATGTCCAACATTTTTCAATCATTAACAATTGATACGATGCTTTCGATTGTCTACTCTCCCATAATGAAAACAACAAAATCAAATCCACTAGCGTTGTCCAGCCTCTAATGTTCTTTGTCAACCATCGCCCAACACATACTTAAGAGCAAATATTTGTCATTTGCAGTCATCAACATCCCATTCAAGCATTTTTAGTCATCCATCCCCTTTCCTTGAAAAATTGCACTGCCCAATATTCCTCATCAACCATCGCCAAATAACATATCAAATAGCAATGATTTGTCATCTATCAACAACCAACATTCGACATACATATTCCTAGTCACATGGTCTCCCATCCTGTAACGAGAGCAACCAACCCTACCCGAATATAGGAAATTATAAATTCTTACATGCATGATTCTTTTCATGTTACACGCTATCTTACCCACCAAGGTTTTTAGCCCACGTGGCATACTCTAAGAACATTAAAAAAATGCTAGTTATAATAAATTAAGGTACACCGCATAAACAGGTTCAGCATTAACTTGGAAATTAAATCATCAAAATGGCAAACAACATGGAGCACAAGTTTCCTTCATTCTTTTAAATCTAGTATTCAAACATCTTCATCAATTTAGAACTCAAGTTACTCAAAGAAATTGTGTTCAACTCCATATTTTTCAAAAGGGCTTGACCACTTTCATTGATTTCAAGAAAAAAAATAAGTATGTCAATTGAAAGAAAAGCCTAATGTCAAAAAATTACATTTATTAAAGAAACTTCTACGCTAAAAAAATGGCTTTATTACATATATAATATCTACTTAATTCAATAAAGTTCATCAAAGGTAATTCTACAAAGCCTTCTCTAGAACAGTCATTCCTTGTTTGCTCACTTTACCATTAAATATGAGCAGTTGCATCTCGAGTGCAGTCCAATTTCATAGTTTAAATTTCACAAGGTTGGTTTTCATTAAAAAATCCCCACAATGGTTAAATACTGCTGCTATCAATGTAAGTCCACCATCAGAAAAGCAATACTGCCTAAAATCAATGTTTATTGGAAAGCTTAATGCATCCATAGTTTCTCTACAAGGACTAAGTGGGACATCTACAAAGATTAAGGTGGAAGCTGCCGTAACAGTGTAAAACATAAAAGAATCTGCAATGGTGGTACGTGAGCTGTTTGATCCCCGGAGCCAAAAAAAATTAGAATAAAATAATATGACATATCCAACAAACCTCAGAGCACGACCACACGGCCATCCCGCTGGCTTGCCTCCAGAGCAGCTTCGTAGAAAACTTGTACTACACAACAACGCATTCTCATCAGAATCATAAACCCAATACAGCTACAAGAAACAATACAAGGTACTAAAAGCAAGTACAGATTCCATCAATGGCTACAATTCACGGCCGCGCCAAACCAATCTGAGAAATCTAAGCAAAACAAACTACTAAAATAAATTTAAATCCATTTCGTCCCGCGCCAAACCAATTTGAGAAAGTGGCAGAAGTTTACTTCAAACATAACCCCAAAAAGAGATGAAAAACAAGGCAAATATAGCAAAAAAACAGAAAATCAAAGCCATGCAAGTAATGCGCCGTGCACGTAGCTCGAATAAAAGAAAGAGGAGGTTATCAGACCTGAAAGAGAGGTGCGAAGCACAAATGTGATCATCAGAGAAGTTAGTAGATCGGCGGCCATGAACGGCGGCTGGGATTGGCGGAGAAACCGCGATGGATCTCATCGTGAAAGAGAGAGCTTGATGGATCACCTCCGGCCTCAGAAATGGGAGAGGAGAGCGAAAACCCTCACAGAAAAAAAGAACGACTTTTGGGAGAAAAAAGTGATTTTGATTTGCAATTTATGAGATGAATCGATTGAATCACAGTAATTGTAGGAAGATTTGCATACCTCACCGCTCACTTATTATGTCTTAACATATCTAACACAACAATTTAAATATTTACATGGATGTCATTTACTCCATATATGAAAAACTGTGTTCCACTTTTTTAAATCAACTGCGACAGGTTTGGTGTGATGCAAAACTGTGGGCGGTATGAATCTAAAAAGTATAATTTATGTACTAGATATGTAAATATATAAGAATTGGGTGGGCTATGCCCACTCTGTGAGAAAGTGGTACTCGAATTGTTAAGCACGTTAGAGTGGTTAGAGGTTGTTGGAGGGAAGGTTGTAAACGAGTCGAGCTTGAGCGAGCTCAGGCTTGATTCGTGTTCGGCTCATTCGAAATTGTTCGTGTTCGAAATCGGCTCGTGTTTGAAAACGGCTCGTGATCAGTGTGTTTGTGTTCGCTCGATTTAAATATTTGTGTTCGTGTTCAGCTCGAAATTTACTAGTTAAAATTAAAGTGAAAATATATATATATATAGTGCTGAATTCGAACCTGAACCAAATGTATGCAAAACAATGCACATAATCGCACTACCACAAGATCAGTTACTATTTAAACTTATATATAAATATATATAATATATTATTATAGAAATAATATGTGTAATATATTTTTATATAAATAATATTATATATATATTACAGAGCCTAAGAAAATATTTTATGTGTTATTTATTCTTACCGCCGTGTTATAGGAATATTTCATCGTGTTATTCTGAATAATACATCAATAATACATGAACAACACATCAATAACACATTAAATAACACATGAATAACGCAGAAAATATTCAGAATAATGTGAGTAAATATTCTTATAACACGGAATATTCATAAACTCTAAATAACACATTAAATAACTATAAGTTATTAATAAATATAAATTATGACATCTAAATAAATTATATTTGTTCTATAACACACTAATAACAAACTAATAAAGCCAAATAACACATAATAACACAAATATATACTTCATAGCCCGTGGTATAACACGTGAGGAATATTCCATGTATGTTATACTGCAGATCAAAACGCTACCCCACGTGTTATACAGTCGTCCTATAACACTCCTCTATCCCGTAGTATAACACGCATGGAATATTCCTTACGTGTTATACTGCGGGCTAGGGAGTGTATAATTATATTATTATGTGTGTTATTATGTGTTATTGAGTAGGGGAATATTCTTATACCCTCAATAGTACATCAATAACACATGAATAACAAAAAATATTTAGAATAACACGGAGGAATATTTTTATGCGATGAAATATTTTTATAACGCATCGGTAGAGCCGGTTCGCGCGTTTTCATTATTTTTTCATTTTTTATGTAGGTAGGCCGGTCTTTCATGTGACAGCGCGAGATTGGACTCCACGAACAACTCTGCATGTAATAAGTATGTAATAAGTCTGTATGTAAAATATGAAATTCGGGAGTTAGGCATGCTAATACGTATACAAGAATTGCACAATATGTATGTAATTCTTCCTTTCTATGGCATTGAAAGTAAATATTTATTTCTACATTATTTTAACATCAAAAAAATCCAAAAATTTTAAAATTTATTCTGATTAATTTGATATGGATATATAGTTCAATTTTTTGGTCCAAATAATATGATTTCGGAGACATATACCAATTTATATCGTTATTATGTGAAATAATGAATGACACAATGGTTGTTACGTGCATATCAGGAATCATATTTTATAATTTATCACTCCATTATTTTCCAAGAAGTTGATATGATTATTATATTATGTCAATTATATAGGAAGAAAATGCACGATTAATAAAATAAAATATAGAGTCAATTACATATATACCCCACAATTCCTATGAATTTAAATGCCTTAACATCTAATTTTTTTTTTAACATTTATACCACCCAAATATTTCAGACCGCATCCAAAATACCATCATCTTAACATATAAAAAGTGAAATACATATTTTCTTACGTAAGTAATAAGGTATGTATGTAAAAATGAAGTTTATATATATATATATATATATATATATATTAGTTTATATAACTATTACAAAATAAAAAATTTAAAGCGGTTTATATCTTATTCGGATACAATGTATAATAAAGGGTCATCAAAATACCATGTTCATTAATTTTATTTTCACTTTTTTTGTCACTTTCTTATTAACAAATTATAATCTAGTGCAAACATAAAAGCTATACTATATATTGTGGTGGTGTCGGTCTTGTGATAATGGTCTAAACTGGTCTGGTGGTGGTTGAGTCAGAGGAAGGTGGTCCAGCATCATGGTGGTCGGGAAATACTTATCTAATAATGACAATGGTGCATTACAACAACGGTGACAACTGAATGATGATTATTTGGCAATGATGGTGGTGGCCCATTGAAAGTGGTGTTGGCTCGACTTCAACCTTGTTATGGTGATCCGACAATGGGGGCAACACCAACCCAATGATAGATGTTCTATACAACGATTATTGGGAGATAATGAATCAAAGACGATAATGATGTACTGCAACAATTGTGACGGTCGAACGATGGTGATTCGGGACATCGGCAGTCGGTAGATGGTGATCTGATGGTGGTGGCGGTGGTCAGGCGATGACAGCGTAACAGTAATGGCAATTAAATGTTGATCAAATGATGATGGTCCTGTGATGATATCAGCTCGAAGATAGTGGTCTCACATGGTAGCGGTGGTCCTACATGATGGCAGTGGCTTGGTGGTTGCAGCCCAGTAAGGTAGATTGGTTGGGTGATGGTGGTCTTACAACAAAGGCATGACATTGATTTGGAGACGGCGGCCCTGTGGGGACGGTAGTTCGGTGAAGATGGTTTGGCACTAAGATGATTGCACGACAGTTGTGGCTTGATGTTGATGATTCGACATAATGGCGGGGGCTTGACATGGACTGCTTGACACAACGACAGTAAGTTGCCACCTGCGACAATGATCCAACAGTGCTGGAGCTCCAAAATCCTCAAGAGTTTGGAACTCCCTTCAGTTTTCTCATCACAATTGAGCCCTCCTTCATGAAGAGAGTGGGGGTTTATTTATAAATTATGGGAGTGACATTCTCCATAAATACTTGATGAATCCAAAGACGACCCAAAGTGATTCTCTTAATCGGTTGTAGTTCTATATGTATTTGGATGATTTAATGCAACCAAAATTAAGCAATCTTAGACTCGTAAGATTCATTTTGTTAATATGCTAAATTTGACTATAAGTTTGTCAAATTTAAAAATCATTTGATCTCTCAAATTATATTTTAAATCTTTTCTTTATGCTTTAAATGCATGTTATGAGCTCACCTGGACTCAGTTCAGATCATTTCTTATATCATTTAATTTGTCTCATTGGGGCACTTCATTTGATCATAAATTTGAGTCTAAAAAAATTTTAAATTGAATTTTAAAGCTTATGATCCCAATATGCATTAAGATTAGTGCACGATCAAGATGATTTTTACATAAGTATAAATAAGAGAATTGTATATTTATAATTCCACCCTATTAAATCACTAAAAATTTGCAATGTACAATAAGCAGAGCTAATAACCATAGCAATATTTATAATAATGAGTTATATTGCTTATATATTTCAAAATTAAAAAATAAATATTTTTAAATTGATATTTAAAAATATATATTGCTTATATATTTCAAAATTAAAAAATAAATATTGTTGTAATTTGTTTGCTATTCCTTCAGAGAGCCAATATTAAATATCATGCGCACATAAAATTTTCAATCATTGTAAGAATAAAAGTAACAACAACAACAACAACTACTACTACTACTACAATAATAATAACAACAAAATAATTTAAAAGCTCCTCTTACATAACATTGAAATAATAAGAGTGTCAAATAATTATTCATAAATAGCATAAATTTGTAGAAAAGTGCATTTATATATATATATATATATATATATATATATATATTATAATGTACAAGCTATACAATAGTTCTTCATAATAATAAGGTTGTTATATTAAAACTAAAAAAATAAACTTTTTTATCATAAGAAAAGACTCTAAATCATTATTTTCTTATAAAATAGAAATTAATATTTTTAATGTTTATATAAAAATATATTGTTTTTTTTTTTTACTTGCATGAGCCAAATTTATGATTGATGGATATGTGATGAGACCAAAAGCTAGCAATTGCCAAGCATTATTTTCTTTTCTATAAATTCTTTCTCAATCAAACAAATATAGTGAAGTCATTTTAAATTAATCATGAAGTTATTTATTTTTTTTTAATTGCTGAGTGTTGATAAAAAAATCAATAAAAATAAAATGGATAGACAGCATAGTAGATTCAAATATTAATTGTATCTATTGATTTCAAACAACGACCAATTCTTGTTGTTAAAACCACTTCTAACATGATATCTAAAAACACCCGATTATTGAATATTCTCGTGTTTCTAACATAAACGAGTTCTCGTACAATACTTCTAATTAATGCAGAAAAACATTGTGGACCATGCAAGTGCCGAAATTTTTTATATCGGAAATAACATATGAATTGGAAATAATATATTTTCTCAAAAGATAAACAATATTATTTGATAATAAATCTAATCATAAAATAAAGATTTCAAGACTCAGGTCTAGGTTGCCATGGTTTTTTTGTCTAAACAAATTGAGAATGATAGTTTTTATTTTAATTTGAAATGCAAGTTAAATTTTATAGTTGATTACATCTTAAGGTATATCATTTGTTAAGAAAAGTCACAATTATAAATATTCTTCTGTGTTCCTAATTCAACATAAATGAGGACCTAAGAAGTATTGAAGTCAAATGAGATAGATTCAAGTAGTACTCAAACAAACATGGCCTACAATGGGGTAAATCAACGGGAAAATTATGTGAAATGAAAATTAGTTTACATCTTAAACAATAAAAAAAAGATTCCTTAAGCTACAAGAAGTGACCTAATATTAAATGAACTCTCTCTTAGATGCCTAATTATAAGAAATGGGTATTGCGAAACATAATGATAGGACATGTTCACTAGATCAAAAAAGTCCTTTAACCCTAACTAAATAGATTTTTGTGAGTGTTGAAGCCAAGTCCCAATGCAATGCAAGATAAACTTAATGATGGGGAGAAAAAAAGTTTGAGGTCAAACCAAATTGCCCACAAGTGTTGGCTATTTAATATAAGAATGGGACATGATTCTAAATTTACATGCTAACATAACTCGAATCTTTGAAATAAGAATATATGTTGACTAGCATTTGTCATTAGGTCCAAAGTTTATAACATCTAGTACATAGCCAAATGTCATGATAGGTAATATAGTCAAATGTCACGATACTCTTTATTTGGACCAACTATTATTTCTTTCGATAAATATAATAAACTATGACAAAAAAAATTATATGTATATATCATGGCACCAGGGTTGAAGTGGAAGGATTTATTGCAAAGCTTGTTGGAATGAATATGACTACTTAGATTCTAGAATTTGGTGTTTTGGGTTTTTTAAATTATGACTCCTCTATATCATCCAACCAGGATTTTGATTCTTATTAGCTTGAACAAAATGTCCATTAAACACTTAATAACTATCCATCAAAATTATTTGAATTTATTGACCAAACAATTATATGCAATCCAATCTTATCAAATCCCTCCCCACATTTAAATTTGAAATGATTTTAATCCAAAAGAAGATGCACAAAAAAAATAATTCAAATTTAATACTCACATGGATATTTTGAACTGTCCTGACCAGCTTGAAGCTTTATAAAATCTTTACCAAGATAGTGGCACTTATTATAAGCATTTTTTATGTGCAAAATGATGAAAATATAAGGATTTTATTAAAATCACTAAGAAAAAACTAATCCTGCAAGACATGTAGAATCTTACTATGTACTCATCCCATCGTGTTATTTCTTGAAAACAAATGAATATACTGCTAACATTACAGTGTTTAATGACTGATAGCTTCAAATTATACTGCTTCTTTTTGTTTGCATCAACATGCTTCTCAGGCTGCATTCATTAACCTGTTTATAGAAGGAATGATATTTAAAAATATATTAAAAAAATAATAGTAATAAAAAGTTAGCCAATAGCATCGACAAGCCATTTGGTTTGTAAGAAGGAAGAAGAAATACCTGCAATGTATGAACCTCAGATAAGAGGCCTCCACACTCTTCAATTAGAGCTTTTTCTCTGCTGACTACCTTTGCCAACTCAGACATTCCTTTTGCTACTCCATCAGCCTATTTTAGAAAACAGACAAAATTATATAAAAATTTCTTTATATATCCTCAGTTATTCATCAATAATTAGCATTCATGTCATGTACTGGTCATTTAATTTGTCAACATCATATAATTTTTTTTGAAGAATGTTAGATATAAATTCATAGCCTCATTTAATTTTAATGAAAGGTAACTTTTTAAGATATAGTGCTCAAAATTTTGTTTTTAATGAAAGAATGATCATGTCATTTACATAATTTAGTTCTTTCTAGGTGAATCATTTGAGAATAAAGCAATATTTCTGTAAAGATTTCTCACTAAATTGACCAGACAAAAAAATTATTTTTGGATGCATAGAAACTCTCAAATTCTTGCTACTTGAACTCTACAAAATGTTAAATCAGAGCACAGATTAACAAATCCCCAAGCTGATTTACTACCATTCAGAGTACAAATAAATAAAATACAGATAATATTCAGAGTTGGAAAATTTGTAATCCAAGTTATGATCTCAACACAGAAGGAAATATGAGAGTTCGAATGATGAAATTCTAACCTTCGGCGAGAATCTCTCAATGGAGGGAAAGAAGGACGCAAACATGCAAGTTGCAGAGTGAATGGATTCCTTGAGCTCTCTAATATCTACCTGCAAAAACATATTATCTTTAGATTGCAATCATCATGAAGGGTGAACCACACAAACCAGGAGGAAGTGAGCCATCCTACCCTCACATCTTCACTTAATGGGAGTCTAATTGAAGCATTCTTCAATGCCATTATTGTTCCAGAAAGCGAATCAGAGTATTCTCCTTCAGCAAGGGCCCACTCTTCCAGATATGGCATCTGAAATTAGCACCAAAATAACAAATCAAAATAAAAGATTTAACAGGGATAAATGTAATAGGTACAAAAATCATCATCACTTCCATACATCTGAGTGCTTGTGTATAGTTTCAGTTAATTCAACAGTTCAACTAGAAAACTTTACAGTAAAAGAAATTGTTGTAGGCTTAACATAAGAAAAAAGAAATAATTTATATATGCAAACTATCAACTTTGAATAAGAACCCTTCTTGAATATATGTAAAGGCCCCTGGATAAAACTGGTAGGAATGCAACTATGGAGGTCGGATGCCTAGCTCAGTACCCTCTAAAAGTTTTAATAGTAAGACCTTCAAGATATGGAGCGATGAGACTATGAATGTTCCTAAATAAGATCTTACAGTCTTACTGTTGCAACTATGTCTCACACTTGAAAACTAAATTTCTCTATTATAAAAGACTTTTAAGGTATGAAGCAATAGGATTTTATATTGTTGCTCCTGCAACTGTGGCTCATACTTCAAACTTGAATTTCTCCATTGTATAAGACAATTAAGGTATGGAGAGATGGGTATTATGGTGTGTTGTTACTGTAGCTGTGGATCACACTTCAAACTTAAATTTCTCCACTATATGATGCAATCAACTAATTACTCGAGCTTTTGTTGGCGTGGAATTACTTAGTCACCTACGGAGGCCCGCTAGTCAACCCTAGTGAACCTGTTTATGAAAAGATCCTCCGACTCACCAAAGGAGTAAAATAGAGACATTTGGAAGAAAACTTACAATTATTAAAGCAGGTTTTCTCCATTTGGTGGTACATTTTTATGCCGACATCAATTGCAAAAATCAAGCTTGCAGAACAAGAGATATCTCTATAAAAGCTGCACCACCTCACTATCTAAAATTGGAAAATGTAATATCAATTTCATATTCATTTCTCAAAAAGTGACAAGGTAACTGTTGGCTGAGCTTTTTTTGACAACTCTCATAATAAAGACAAATATAGCCTATGAAAGCTTCAATTCCAGAAAATTTGGAATTACCAAAAGGTGACTAAGCACCCATTTGGAAATGTCTGAAACTAATATAAGGAGTTCTAAATTAATTTTAAGAACATATCAGGCTATGTTTGGAAGTGATTGATGCTATCTTCTTTATGTTATTCAGGTAATAAAATTAGTTTTTAAATGATTGGTAAAGACTAGACTACCCAGCTTTGAGAGAAAGCCCAGATTTATGTATTTTTAAAATAGTTTTATTTTACCAATGAGCTGAATGGGTTTTCAAGCCAAGCATTGTCCTATGCTAACTAGATAAGGGTTGATAATTTGTATATTGACTTTAACAATTTCATGCAAACAAAACAAAAATCTTTAAAAAAAAGTAAAAAAACAATTTAAACTGTTCCATAAACCAATCATACCTCCGCATCAACAATGTTGGACAATCTTCTCAATCTTAACAGCCTCTCAAGCTCCATTCTTTTCTCTCTAACTGAATCCCGCAACTCTTCTAAGTTTTTAGAAACTTCAAATAGTGATCTCTGGTGAAAAAAGACAAAAAACACAGCTCAATTATATCTACCAAAAGAGATATACAAACAAACAAAAAATCTACACACATACCACACATTTCCTATGTATGTACATATCTAACACCCAAAATTTGATATTGACATTTATAACATCTTAGTGTCTTAAAGCTACGCATGAAAATGTGTATTGCACTTTTGAAAAAGGCGGTTACGGTATAATTTTGATGTAATGTTAAGGATTTGAGTAGTACGCATGTAAATATGAAAGTATAAGTGCTATATATGTAAATAAATAAAAATTTTGTGTATGTAATAGCCCCCATTAGGAAGACCATTTCATTCTCTATAAAAGTATGTATCGAACCTCTGCAGTGCCGAACCTTGCTTTAACAGCTGCATTGGCTGCTGCATTCACAAACCTCCATTGTAGATATTGATTATGAAGAAGAGAAAGAACATGAACATCTTCCTTCCTGCTCAAACCCTTCTTACCCTTCTTCAGGTCTAACCCCTTTCTATTGCTTGGGGGTTGTGGAGGCAAAAAAACTCCTCCTAAACTACACATTTCTTGAACTGAACTCTTGTTGTTAACTGTCTTTGCAAGATTGAAAAGATTTGGCTGGCAAATTGAATTAAGTGAATGCCTGAGCATCAATTCCACTGCTTCAGCTGGTTTCCTTGAACTAGCTGGCAATAAATCACCCTCAGGCACAGATGACCGGAGTTCCGAAGCTTGCCGTGCCCTGCAACTACCCTGATTTCGAATCGGCGGGCTATCACATAACCCTCCCAGACTGCTAATACTGCAGCTCTGAGTCCCTGAATCAGCCAAAGAACAAGAATCCCTTGAAGAACTATCCATCAATCCGGAAAAAGGGTTTAAAGCCTTTGATTTGGGTCCATGGTTTGCAGTTTTCTTTGCTGTTCTGAACTGAGTTTGACTACAAATGACTTGTCTTGGAGTCCCTACCCTGGTAGGAGGCCTGCTCGTGTGGTGTTGGACAAAATGTGCCTGAGGGGTATCGCTGGCATTGTCAGAGAAAAGTCTTACCGCACGCCTCTTTTGGGTATTTGGGGCCTTCCCCTGCAGTCCTAGAGCAAGGGGAGTGATGAAGCTGTGCTGATTCTCATCTGCATAATGTGCGGAGGTCTCGAATTCTGAATCGGAGGCATCAGGGGAAGAAGGAACAGAGGGTATTCGGGGTATCTGATTATGAAATTGGTTTCTGAAGGATGATGGGGTGGAAGAAGGGTGAATGGGGGATGAGGGGGCTGAGCGTGGAGATGGTGGGATCATATAGCGAGAACTGACATCTCTTCCTCGGCGCCGGGTTCTTTTAACCGTAGCCATTGCAGGAGGTAGAGGCGCATCTAGTTTCTGTGCTTCCATGAGAGATGCGGGCATAAGAAAAGCTAGGGTTTTGGGATGCAAGAAGAGAGGAGTTTGGGGAATTCTCCCTCTTTCTTTCTCGCTTAGCCCTGCAAAGCTCTCGGATCTTTCAGAGCCGTTGGAGAGAAGCGAGAGAGAGAGAGAGAGAGTAGACAAAACGGCTAGGATTTCCGGGATGAGAGATGAATTTCTAAATTTGTAAATTTAAAACGAGCTTCATCTGCTAACGGTCGGAAAACAACGCCGGTGGTTTAGGCCTTAGGGAAGATTTACATATATACCCATATGTATTATCTAATATTAAATTTTAATTTTTACATAAATATGACTTTATTTATATATGGATAGATGTATTCCATTTTTTTAAAGTTAAAATCTTTATGTTTTTGATGGACATACAATAAAATTATGATAAAAATACACCCAGGTATATTTCTAATTAGAAAATTATGATTTCTATGTATTACCAGAAGTTTTTCCGTCACCCTAAATAAGTATGAAAGGGTTTATTTTATTGAAGAGACCAGTTTCCTTACTAATCAAGTCCCTAAAGTTAATTACATCTTACAAGAGCTATCATATAAAAAAAACCCTCTATAGAAATAGTGGCATTCACATCTCTTATTAAATTAAAATTTTGAATTAGGCTTAGCTCAAAGTTAAGTAATTATTATCGAACCAACAGAAAAAAAAAGTTGGAATCATAAAATACTAAGAAGTTCGATGGTGCTTCAAACTATTCTATAGTTTGGCTTTAAGTTTTGAAAGTTGAAATTGATTTTTGATTCTAAGTTATTCATTTTATTAGAAATTCAAGGCTTAAAGTACAATAAAATAAAGTTGTGTGTTAGGAATTATAATAGGAAATAATTTATTCCTGTAAGAAGTTATGAAGAATAAATTATTAATAAATTATTTCCTTAGTAAGGAGATATTTCATTTCCTATCTTATATTTATTACCTTGGATTAGGAATTATTTGTTTTCCTATTTTATGTTATTTCATATACCTCCTAGTAATTAATATGAATTGATTATTATAGATATTAAGTGAAGTATATTTACTTTCATATCATTTCTTCTTTATTATTTTTCATATTATAGGATTATTGTAAGAGTTATTTATACCCACGTTCGTATCAATGAAATAATTAAGTATTCTGCATTATTCTGAACTTCAACATTGTGGAAAAACTTATAAGGAGAGGACTTGTCTAGTAGCAGAAAAGCCAACAAGAATGCCTCATCAACAAAATAAGGTGAGCACTATCTATAGAGTAGGGAGCTCGAACCAATCTTATAAGATAAAGTAGGACTTAAGGACTTCACTCTCATCATCTATGTTTCAAAATCACCAGACAAAGTGAAATCCAACTTGACTCTTCCAGACTTACAATCCTATATAACCCATATATGTTTCAAAACCATGAGGTTAATCACTTACACGAGTAGATGTGTAGGTTTGTTATTTATATAAGAAGATTGTATTGAGAGTCATGACTCAACCCTGAAGATCGAGCAATCTGGATATGCATCTAACTAATACCAAATTTATTAGTTTAAAAGTTTTATTATTTAAAATAGATTGACTTTAATATTGAATGTCATGGGCATGCAATCAAATATCTAGTGCATGGATGCATGCATGAAAATTCAAATTTATGGCTAAGAATGATTTATAGTCTTTCTTTGAAGGACTACTATCCTCATAGGTTAGATGCCCCTTTACACATAATGAATAAAGTCCTAAAGCCCATGGATAAAGTCTATAGACATTGTGAATGGTTTGGTTATTCCTATGATTTATAATTTATTTTATTTTTTAAGATAACATTTTTTGCTTTTAATTTTATTTTAATATATTTAAATTTTAAATTATAGTTAGTTAGGTTGAGTAAAACAAATAATTTTATCTTAAGGACCCAATGAAAGTAAATTGGGCTAGCCTAGGCATACATCATTAAAAAAACATAAGAAAAGTACCATTGAAAATTAAAATAAATAAATCAAGCATCTTCAAAACTAACTCTGCTTCACTATATCAATCCAAACTATGGTTCATGACTATGTTTAATTTGCTTTTAAATGAACCGTTTCCTTCATAGAACTCTTGTTTCTTAAAATTTTTTAATTAGAAATTTTCAATTTTATCAATGTATTCATCTCATATTAATAAGAGACCACCCTAAAAATCATCAAAAAATGTAGATTTTTTTGTTAACCTCTTTTGCGTAATTCTAGCATTTCTTTAGAATCATTTTATGCATTACTATTTAGTCATTATTCCATTGTTAAAAATCACATTTTAATTCCATAGTAATCTACTATAAAACTAATAAATTCCTACATATACATGGTGTATTTTTTAGAAACTCCATCATTCTCACATAAAAGTAAGTAGAAGCTTCTTAATGCATCAAGTCCTTGTAATACCATCAAGTTTGGTCCATTTAAGTTTCTGTTTTAAACAAAATAAACTGAAAAATCAATGAATTCTCATGATTTTAATTCAAATTTCCTTTTTAATTAATCCCTAACCCCTACTCTTATTAACCCAAAATTTTTAGGATTTTTCCACTTAGTCATTCAATGTCCCTCATAATTTTAATTGAATTTTTTTTTGTCTATGGAGTGTTTTCCCTAAGTTAAAACCTTCTTAATCAAAATTAGAGAAATTATAAAACCTTAACCCTAACTAAATACCTAAGGTCAAATTAGTGGATATGAAGGATTTAATTAAGGCTTAGGTTGTTTTAGTAAGAAAATATAAAGTTAAATAAAGCAATCAAAAATTAAAACTTGAATTTAATTAATCTAACTTTTACTTGAGCTTTAGTTTTGATAACAAATAAATCATAATACAAAAAATTATTAAACTATGAACAAATATTCACCTTAAAAATTAAATTAATTAATTAAATGTGAGAAAATACATAAACTCTAAAATAGACCTTCAAATGACTTGATTTTTTTTTTAAATGGATGAACACAACCTTGAACCACTTCAGAAAATTGTATTAATTGTGGAATTAAAATATATTTTTAATGAATTATATAAATTAAATTACTAAAAAAATATAAAAAAAAAATTCAAATTAAACTAGAATGCTATTGGTGTTTTATATGAGTCCCTTTTGTGACTTCTCACCTAGGGAGACAATTTCATAAATCTTGAAGTTGATTTAAAATGAAAACACAATAGAATTTCTTGGTAAAATTTACATAAATAAAAAAATTCAAAAAATCATTGATTAAAACATAACATAAAATTAATTAAACTTTAAAAATTCAGTTGAATTAGTTTACTTAACTAGAAACTTGAAAATTTGAACTATATAAATTTTGATTCATAAGAAATTTATAAAATTGAATAAAATTGAAATATATTATAATTTTTTAAATTCATTAATTCAATTAAAATTTTATTAAATCATAACTCACTTAAATGAACTCAAATTGATACAAACTTCTTACATGGTACCCCTATCCAATTCTTTCTATAATTTTTTATAAATATAAATTTATTAGAATTTAAATTAATTAATTCAATTAAATAATTATTAAAAAAAAATGAGTTCAAAATAAACAAAAAATTGTAAATTTTCAAGATTTGATTTTTTTATATGACTTCTGGTTTTAGAAAGTAATTTTATTAAAATTTTAGATGCTTTTGCCAAGATTTTGAGTTTTTTTATTGAAAATGAGATTAAAAACTTTGGTTAATCAAAACACTCTAAGGTCAAAGGTTGGTTCTTAATACCTTCTATGACGACCCTAGGGAATAACAATTCAAATAAATTAAAATGAAATTAAAAACTTAATTAACATATTTCAAATATTAAATTTAATTTCATATTAAAGATTTAAACCTTAAACACAATTCAAATTTAAAGAACTTAAATCTCAAACATCATAATTCATAGCCTTAAAACTTAACTAAATAATGGAAGTTGCAGTAAGTGGGGAAACGATCAATTTTCTCTTGGAGGAACTCTTTTCGGACAAGGCGTCATAATTCGTTACGAATGACATCATTTGGAATGGTAGCAAGACGTGTAGGTGTCAGGTGAGCTGCGTGAGATTGATGATTGAAACTTAAGATATTTAGGAGTTCAACATCATGATCTATAAGGGGAAGTTTCTTCTTGGGAAGAGGGGGACGATACAAGTTCCTCCGAGTAGTGGTGTCGTGCACGCATCTGCACACACACAGTCATACACATACGCGCGCGCGCACGCACACACTCTCAAATGACACCTTCTCATGCTTGAGGAGACCAAGTATAGTTGAAACATCTGAAGTGAGTTGGTGCAGCATAACCCTTCGGCTTCTTTTGACAAAGATCGAAAGACAAAACAGTAGCTAACATACAACAATATTATCCGACCGTATAAAATTCTACAAGTACGTATAAAAAAAGAAAAAAAAAAACAAAATTAAGTTAGCAGGAAGGCACAATCTCAAATCTGTTCTGTACAGTAGAGAAAATAGATTCTATCTTCAATGAAAAGAATCCTGAAGATAATACAGAAGATTACAATTTTTGTCCCAGATAATAAATTAATGCTCTCGGAAGCCAACACTTCTCGTCCTCTGCGGCTGCTCATCATCTGCACGCAATAAAGAGTTTTAACATTATAGTTTAAAGAGTAAAAAAGAACGGAATTCAAAACTGAAGAAGGGAATATAGACTTTCAACATAAGCCCATAATAACGGTGAAACTGATGTTGGATGAGAAAGAAGATTGACGATTGATGTTGGGTTATCATTCATTCATAAAACTTAAATTTTATAGTTAAAATGAAGTGAACTTTGAATATAAATTTTATACGGGCAGGGTGAGCGCTCGAACTCGGTAGCTCGGGATTCTTCATTTTATGCACAAATTTAAATAATGGTTAGTGATGGGATGTTTCTTACCTGTGAAGAACCACAATCGGCCTCGATCATAGTAACTCGGTAGCTCGGGATTCTTCATTTGATGCACAAATTTAAATAATGGTTAGTGATGGGATGTTTCTTACCTGTGAAGAACCACAATCGGTCTCGATTATAGTTAGAAATGGGTAGAGAGTTTGTTAGGATGTCACACAAAAATGATGCACCAACTCTTAACAAGATTATGATTGTATATAGAAGGGTTCACTAAAACAAGACAAGAATGATACATCACAACTTAACCCAATAGTGATGGACTATATTTCAAGGGTTGGAAGACCTAACGTTATATATTACCTTCTATTCCCTAAACTCTCACCCATCTAGATATTATCTGTTTTGACCAATGGCCTTGTAGTTTTGTCCCCCACTCACATAATTAACGTTCTTATCAGTATTTTTAATATAAAATCATTCACAAAACAGATGGGATCCTAGAGATGGCCCCTACAAACTTAAGAGGTGGCTCCGAATAGATGACATTTATGTTATATAGGGTTCAAGTTGTGGCTCCCATAGCATAGCACTTCATTCTATATGACAATTAATTCCTATCTTCAGGTTGGTGTAAAACTCTAATAGTATCTGTACGATTGAATAAAACTTACCTCAAATCCTTTTTTTGATCAAACAGCGTCGCCTCAACCTATAATTGAAATCACCAAATATCCATTTCTGTGCTCTCTTACCTTAGTGTTAAGTTTTTAGTATTACTATTATTTCAGATTATAATTCCAAAATTTTGGCCTATTCTTATGATACACTCTTGCTTGGCCTATTCCAAAATTCATAAGACTAGTTAAGTATCCAAAATTCTCTCTCCATGCATATTAATTTAAACAGTTTTTTTATTGTCTTATGCATCCTCTACCAGTACCATCTGAAAATAATCATGTATGAATTAAACATTTATATTTCATTTCTTTTAATTACTTCCATTTAAAGTTATTGCAACCAACAGTTTCTCCTTTCAATTTTCACTTCATTAATTTCAAAAAGTTTTTCATTCATACTATGCTTCAGGTTATAAAAGCAAGTACAAAAAGTAACAATGCAGTTATTTATTAATAAAATCTTAATTTACTACATGCTCGAAAATAATTACTCATCTTATTTTGCTTGTTTGTCTCATTAACTCCTTATCTCCAGATCTTCTAAATTCAAATATTCTCTAATCTTAATTGTTATTATAATTTAATATTTTATTAATATCATACTAAATTAAGGGAGATGCAATCTCAAGATTGAGGAATGAATCACTTTGAAAGATAAAGCATGTTCACACACACACACACACACACAAACAACTCTTAATTAAAATTATAACAAAAAACCTTTTTTTTACCTTTTTATTTGCTCTGATGCCCGACCCACACCCAAACTCAGTAGCGAGCCATCCCATTTCATGAGAGGCTCGCAAACCTTCTTCCCCTAAGCGGGTTTGCCTCTCCTCTACACACCTACTCGCTCCTTTAGCTTCTTCTTCTTCTTCTTCATCTTTTTCGACTTCTTCTTAACTTTCAACTATGGTTTGACATGTGAGGCTTGAGTCACTTGCCTTTGGTCGCGACTCAACCCAAGTCCTTCTTCCTTCTCTATCTGCACGCGAGCATGGCACGATCGCTTTCTTCTTCTCGTTGCTTCTTCTTCTCCCTTGTTCAATTCGTCTGTTTCACTTGGGTTCAAAAGAGGCACTCGTCTCAAGTAAAATTGTGTAGAATTTATTTTATACTACTGTTATTATATTTATTATTAATATTATATTAAAATTAAGTTGTTACAAAGGCCATTCAAATTTGTGATTGGTAAAAGATTAACAATATAATGAAGTGAAGTGATAAATATTTCAGAGTTCTCTTAAAAGTTAAGGTGAGTAATTATTTTCTTGTATATATTAAATTAATATTTTATCAAATAAAGAACTATATTATTACTTCATGTATCAGCTTTTACCATTAGAGGCAAGTTGTGAATTAAAAAATAATTGAAATGAAAATGAAAAAAAGGAAAAACAACGATTTCAAGGGCTTTAAATGGAGGTAATTAAAAGAAACAAAATATAAAAGTTTAAGTCAATGAGGATTACCCCCACATTTGATACCGATAAGGGATGCGATGTACTCATGCACAAAAAAAAAAAATAAAAATAGTAAAGGTGTACATTCAGGTGCAAAATTTTGAGGGTACTACGAGTATAATTTTAAAGATACATCCGGTATGACAGTAATCCTAATATGAGGTTAAAAAATTTAATACTTAAATTGTAATGAGAAGGGTTAAATTTAAAATGAAAGCTTGTAGTTTGATTAAATAATGAACTATATTTCTTTTGATCATTCATGTATAACACTCACATATTAATTTAATGCATGATAAAATTATAATTGCTCACTAATCCGTGAAAACTTACAGCTGAATTTATTTATTTCTTTTAGGAAGAACTGTAGATTGCTATGTTTGATAGGAGGGATTTAGTTTACATGAGAAGGCCTATAGCCGATATGTATTATGTTGTGATGTCATTGTAATTTTCTTTTCGTAATATTTTCTTGTGGGTGGTGTGAAACTGTTGTTGTCACAACCCCGCAAATGAAAAAGGATTTTGATATTAAAGTACCTTAAGCGGTATAATTTTTTAAGGTGTTCGTGTGATGATTGTATACAAATTAAAAAAGATATTGATATATAAACGATATAGTAAGACACATAACGAATGTTTAAAATCATCTTGAATAATCAAATTAGATAGTACAAACCGTCAAACGCCCTTATATTTTTACACGGTTTAGTTGACATGCATATTATATTTTTTTCAATGAATTACAATAGTTTAAGAGTATGAGTGTTCATTAATTTTGTTTAGCTAACTATTATTTTAACTAACTTTTCAGGTATAATCAGTTTATTAAAAGATGAAAGATAAATAAGAAAATTTTTATACACGCTGGGGATAATTATAAATGAGGTAAAATTGAACTTTATTACTTTAATTAATTTTTTAGTGACTTTATCATTCCTTAAATATTAGTCAAATAATGAATATAGAAAATTTTTAATTTTCATCGTTTGATCGTCTGTTCCTGCCTTGATTAATTCCAAGCCCTAGGCGAGGTCATGATAGTTATATGTTGGATGAGAGATTGTATTCAAATTATGTTGTTATTCCTAAATTTTTTATTTGTATGTAGCATACTTTGTGATTTCTCATTTACTCTTTTATATAGTGGAAGTCATGAAAACCTGTGTAAAGCAAATGAAAATGTTAATACCATCCGATTGCAAATTTTGACTTAGTTAATGCTAAACTATCAGGCCAAATTTGCACATTAAATATACAAGTCGATCACAAGACTCATCCTCTTATTATAATGACGGGAAATGCTTATTATACTTATGAAAAAAAAATGAAAATGAAAAATGTTTAAGAAAATGGAAAAAAAAAAGATAACAGACATAAATGTGATTAAAATTGTCAAAAAAAAAAAATCTAATTAAACAAAATACAAATATTTGAAAGTTGCACTAAAACGAAATTTTAATGTTTACTAATCATTTTTGAACAACATTCATTTCAAGTATGCATAGATGTTCAGCACACAATTAAACTGTAATTATCCACAAAATTATTGTATAAATTAACATACTGTTTAACAGCTTGTTTCAGGAAAAACTCCTTTTAACTTAAATGGCTGATAAGAGAGAATATTTTACATAATAATAGGAGCTAATGAAAATAGGTATAAAAAAAATACTTTATTGTGCTAATTTTTTTATTAAAATTATTGTTGCAATAAGATATTTTTATAGTTTGATTTGAATGATGTATTAAAAATATTTTGGTTTCATAACTTTTAATTGTTTCGATGATTGTTATGGATTGTTGCACATATTAGACAAGTACGACACTAGCATTCGGCCATCCATTTCCGACTTAGTAATTTCAAACTCTCGGGACACAATCCTTATGATTTGACACATCTAACACCTAAACTTCCATATTGCATGGATAACACTCAAATCTATAATATTACATAAAAAATATAACTACTATTAACATTTTAAAAGTGAAATATATATTTTCATGCATAAATTTATGACACCAAAAAACTATAAATATAATATCAAACATTCGGTGTTAAATATATAAATACATAGAACTCATGTGGTATGTAAGTAAAATTTCCTATAAACTATGTCTAGCGGCATCATTTTGGGTTTTATCAGTCAAATTTATCAAGGACTCTCAAAGCAAATTTAGAATATAACATACCAATCTCCCAAGTCAATACACAATAAAATATGTTAACTTACGCTAAGAAGAGCATAAAACATAGACCTAAACTTTCAGTCCATTAGGTGTCAGTTTAAAGCGCAGCAAAAAACATATATGCAAAAATATCGAATGCGTGGGAAAAAAATCCGTAAATACTAATGATGTTTATTCAATAGAAAAGAAAACCCTAGTCAAGAAAACAGTTAATCTCAAACATCAAGTTAAGGGATTTAATCTAGACGCCCGAAAAAATGGTATAAAAGACGACCAAAGTGGCACGCCTCAAGCTAAATGAAACACACATTTTAAAGCATGTGCCATGCTCCGCCAAGCACTTCGTTAAATGCAAAATAAGAAGTTTAATATAATAGATTCTAAATTCAAAGCTAATCGTTCTTACCAAGATCTTCATCATCGTCGTCATCATTTTGACTTGTGAAAAAGGGAGTAAGATAATTCTTATCAAGAGCCGTGAAAGAAGCAGCACTGCAGCACCAAAAAAAAAAAAAAACAGTAAAAAGTTGATAGAAAGCATAAGAAGCTGATACGAAGCAAGTAAAAACAAGGCAAATATACCTTCTATGTAATTCTTGGAGTCTCGTCTTGAGCTTGCTTCTAGAAGATGTCCCCTCTTCATAAGATGGGGCGATGTAGCCATTGTTATCTTCGAAACTCTAACAACAGACGGTATAATAGTTGAAATTTGACAAGGCAACCAACAAAATACACATCAGCAGGTCCATTAATTTTGCCAATAGGAAGACAAAACATCATGAAAGTAAAATTGTCGGTTAAAATGCTACAAATTAAAAAAAAAAAAAAAAAAGCAAATTGGGCTCCTAAA